ACGTTTTGGAGAAAGGTTTGAAACCTCATCACACAACACTAAGCGACTGTTCCTAAATTATAGAAAGCTCTATCCGATGTTTGGCAAGCCTTATTCCCATATAATGCTTCCAGAAACTTAGTGAATCTATGCTTCGTCGTTTGGCAGCCATTATAAAGGACAGAGGAGGCCCGACTCGTTATTAACTAGCTATGCCTAATTCAGTGGCCCTTCAATATATTTAACCACGCACTAAGTTAAAACTTTAATTCCATTGAAATACAAAAAATGAGAAAGTATACTTCAAAGAAAGGAGGAAAAGGTGTGTCATGTAGGGTTTATATGTGATGTCCTGGACCTTTACAGATATCATCATGCAAACCAAATAGGAAAAATTTTCATAATAAAAGATACCATTTTTTCACAGTAAACATACTTCCATATGCAGCAGTACTTCCAGGGTCTATAGTCTGATTGAGCATATGTAGTAAATTCTAGTAAGGCATGTTTCAGTTCTTACTGGAGATAGACAATCCACTTCAGCAAAAATATAATGGCAGTTCTTTAACAGTTCAATGAGAGCTGTTAGGTTTGGTTTATGTGATTGTGGCAAAGCCTTGAGGGCTACCTGCCTAAGGAGAGAGGTGCCTTCATGGAGGACTTTTTAAGGGAAACTGGCTCATATACACGTTACATGGGGAAAAACCACAAGAAAAATCCATGCAGCCAGCCCTTTTGTCGGATTCAAACCTCAGTTCAGGCGCGATGCCGATGCTCTCTTGGCATAGCGATGATTTTCGCTATCCCAGTATAACAATACATTTAAAGATTTTCGAACATATTTGAGTTCATAATTCACTTAGAGTTCGGTGAAGACCATAGAAACATGGAAGAAGGGAGTAATATCATGTCGAGGTAAAATAAAAGAGTCCAACGTCATAGTTCATCAAGCGATGTGTGTGTGAACGCAAATGAAACTTGGCTCAAAACGACAAATGCTGCAGCAGGTCCAAATCAGGCAGAAGGCACTGTATGGCGTTGAGTAATGTGCGAATCAGCAATGTAAGCAGGTTACAAAGATATGCCAGGTTTTAGTCAGTGTCCTCATAATAGCAGTCAAGAGAAAGCATACAAGAAAAGGAACATGAGAGGTGTAACTAAATAAAAGTGGGTTAGGAACATAGGTAAACTGAATATACAATACAAAAAATTATGTAATGTGTTCTATTTACATTTCCTGAAAAATCATAGTTGAGTACCTTGGGCAAAACTACCAGTGTTCAGCAACTTTACGCTTGGCTGCTGGTGAGCCCAAGAGCTGTTAGGAAGCATGCCAAAATTTTTATTCTTAATGTAAACACTTGCAGTCTTTCCTTTATTATTTACCAGAAACATCTCTGACCTATTTATTAAGTGTGTTATGTATGTATATATGTGTGCTTTTGACTTGCTTGTGTTCCATCTAGAATTTAAAAAACAAAGCATTAAAAAAAACCTATGCATCTCAGTAATATGATCACCCTTGTTTGCAAATGAATGGAGCCCCCCCATTTGGCAGTACATAGATTATGAGAACTAGCTCCTCAGATTCCCAACTGTCAGTGCTCCAGCACTCCGACACTAGTCAGAGGTTTGGGTCCTTCTAGGATCTTATTCCGATGGAATCTTCATTATTCACTCTTTCACATCTGACACCTGCAGAGTCTTGATTATATATTCTCTTCGTTTCCTCAGCACTTTTCCTTTGAGTTTTAATTCTTTGATTACTCTGTCGTAGTATAGCTATGTATATTAGGTATTACTGCTTTTTTATACAATATTACTGTAATATGTATGTAAAATAATAAATTATATTTTTATTTACTTATTTTAATAACATCTTGTAATCAAGAGCTGTAAATTTCTCTTTAATTGTCTTTAGAATAAGTATATATTTATAAACACAAATTTTTCCATCTAAAGTATTTTTTCAAGGTTGTAGGACAAAATGTGGATCCTACTGAATAGAAAACCTCAAGCAATATTTAGTATCATTTTGTCAAATTAGATCAAAATAGGAAAATGCTGCCGGTATTATCAGCAGACAGTTTCCTGTTTTTTGTTATCTGCCTCCAATCTAAAAATTAAATTTTACACAGTGCTTTGTAGTAGCAACAGAATATTAATTATAGTAATAAAATTATGCGATCTTTTAGAAGAGTTTAGTTTTCATTTCCCCCCCCAGAACTTTATTGTTCTATGTAGAAAGGTTCCTCCCCTCTCTGGAATCTCAAAAATACAGTAGAAAAAATCAGATGAAGGAGTGTGCAATTTAGTTGAGTTGCTTTCAGCGATCCCACTTCTTGTAATTCGTTCTGCTTTTCCCCAATCTTGCACACCACACTTGATCCATGCCTGTTCCGAATGCATTCAACAAGGTCATTGTTAGTGAGTGGTGAATCATTAAAAAGAACTGATTCACTTCAGCGAAAGAATGGTTCCGATCCCTTAAAAGGAGCGGTTTTATCCATCCCTAGTTCTGACTGCTGGCCAGTATTGGCTGAGAACTTACATCTGCTTTAAAAGAATAATGGTTATTATTAATTCCTGAGCTGAGAGACATTATCATAAATTGTATAAAATGCTGCTTCAGAATATTCGAGCCTTTAAGGCCAAAAGTAGATATTTTTTTGCCTTATAGATATTGCATTTATTTAGTACAGGAAGTACTTTTAATGGTACATAGCTTTTAGTATGTTTTGAGATGTGTATTTGTATTGAAATTAAAAGCTTAATCAAACTGTGTTTTGATTTATGGGAAAAGTTTAAAAATTAAGACTTTTTTTTCATAAAATGGCAAAAAACGTGATAAAAACTTAAATGAAATATTTATCCATATTTTTTTAGATGAAATATTTCCCCATATTTTTCCTGGGATAAACAGTAATTAGCTGGTTTATTCTAGGCTCTTGTCCTAGCAAAATAAGCTGCATAAGTTAAAATAATCTGAAATGGGATAATTCTAGTGACCTGTGTATTTAATATGCCTTCAGTTGTATGAAATATTTTTTGAATATGATGATCTTAAAGCTGACACTTTGTTCAAAGGTATGCATTATTGGTATTTGTTGCACGTGGTTGCGGCTGTGTGCAACAACAAACTATGCGTATTGGAATTTGCCAGTGCTTTTAAGGATGAATTCATAACATGCCATAAGAGCCAATTTTTTGATAACAAAAACATTTAATCACATCACCAATATTAAAACTTAATTACTACAGTCGACAGACAATCACGTTGGAGGAAAGCGAAAGCGAGCGACCCAACCGCACCGACGACGAGACGTGACTGTGTGTCGCCGAAATCACCTTCGGTTGCAGTTAGTGATAACGGCGCACGGTTGGCGAGTACAACACATGTTTACAGAGTCGCCACAGTATTCTTTTTAAAACCTTCACTAAAAAATTATTTTCTTGCAAAACCTACTTTACAGTGAGCTCATAACACATAACTCTGTGTATCACATGTCATTTTAAATTTTTTTTGAAAATCTCACTTACTCATTTGTCCATCATGTCCTTTTTTATGTTGAGTAATACCAGTGGATAAAGATCTGACACAATGGCAGTTTTCCTGGACTTTTCCCCCAGCAGCTGAACAGGGTGGTTACATGAGGTCACCACCGCTATGTGTAAATATTTGCTAATTTCCCTTAGAAAGACCTTAGACTTAAAAATATTAAAAGTTTATTCCATAAGGCCTAATGTGCTTTGTATATCTTTATATGCTTTGTAAACCCTAATGTGCTAGATGATTCATTTAGACTGAAAATGCCAATAACAAACATGGTACCCATCACTGAGAAACCTATAGAGAATACTGTGCCTTAGCTATTTTTAGTACAATAGCAGTAGTGTAGAAGTATCGCAAAACCTGGTAATTTAAAAAAAACCTTTTATTAGCATTTTTGTGTTTGCTTGTGCAATAAAATTCTTTTTGTCTATTGTTGGGATCTGTTCTTCTGTGCTATTCAACATTGATAGTGTTCATCAATTTCTTCTTGCATATTTTTCAAGTACATTTCCTAAATCCATTTAAACAGCAAGTATACTTTTTCTTAGGAAACCTCAAATTCACAGCATGAAATAAATCTTCAGTGCATTTATCTTATCAAACGTACTTCTTTCTTGCTTTGCCACTATCAAAGTGTTCACTGTTCGTTTATTAACCCATTTACCTGCTGTGATTCTCATTTGGAATTTTCTGTGTGTGCCCAGCATGTTTATTTCAGTGGATGTATTGGAGTATGAAATTTTTACTTGAATTTCATTTCAGTGTGGCATTTTAGTATATTGATTTTTCCTGGCAGTGCAATCGACAGTTTCGTTTTGTGTTCGTGATTTTTTGCATCTTATGAAGGAAGCATATGCAAAACAAATGTTAGGCATCCATATAGAGTACTTCATGCAGTGGCGTAAAAAATAGTTCTTAACTGCCATGTTCCTAAAATATGAATCTGTAAAAAAAATTATGCTACCAATATATATTTATACATATTTTCTTGTTTGGTAAAGTATCCTAGTTATGTGTTTATGATGTAAAAAAGAATGTATTTTTAAGACTGAATTTAATTAAACTTTGGTATGGTTAAAATAATTTAAATCATTTACTGAAATTAGAAATATTAAAGTTTTGAGTTAAATAGCTAATAATATTGTGGTATAACACGCATATCTCAAAAATGCTTTTGTTTTGTAATTTTGCATGTAACTAAACTTCAGTTAATAGTTGTGTTACAGCAAATAAAATGACATGTAAGTATAGATAAAATGTCTTTCTTTTTCTAGAGTTGAGAAATCTTATGAAAATTGTCCCATTTTAATTAATTCTTGCTGATGCACTGTTAAGGTTTAACTGCAATAAAAAATTCTGCTTATCAGTTCTCTGGCTTTCTCAAAGAATTAATGTTTATATTCATTATGTTGTATTCGCTCTCTCTCTATATATATATTGCTGATTATTATTTATGTTTGTCTTATAGGTATAAGTGTAAGAATTCAAAATCTATAGATTTTGAATGCAGCAATCTTCATGGATGCTGCGGTCAGAGCAGCAGCAATGATGAACAGCTCGTCAGTTTTTTATATAGGTATTGTGGCATGCTTTATTATTAGGTGTCAGATTTGTTATTTGTGGCTAAAATATTTATATTCACACATGTTTAATAATAATGAACGTTATCATCATGAACTTAATAAAGTTAAATATCAAAGCATTTCTGCATGGGAGCGATTTATAATATTATGTGTATTCAATATGTGCAGAACATCTATATAATATAATTATGTATATATTAAGTTCATACGGTAATTTATTTTGTGGTTATTTCACAATCATGAAAGCACCTTTCTGTTTCGTAATCATTGAATAAAAGCTAATGTTGGTGTGGGTCAAGGCAAAAAATTATCTGTTTATGACTCAAAATCTTAAATGCATCATTTTTTAATCCTGCATAGAATTTTTAAATGAGAAACAAGGTGTGATACAAGAAATTAAGATGAAATTTTTAGAGATGTTATGGCAGAGTTATTAATATCATTATTAAGGAGGCGTAATTTAAGAATTTGCCATAAATAGGCTGTAAAGACAATCTGTTTTATCGTCATTCCAGATAATCTAACATAGCTATGACTGAACAACAATGAAATGGTATTATCCTCATGAGTTGTGGAAGAAACACCTATGTAAATAACCAATAAATTTAAGTATGTTCACCTTAACATAGTTAAGATTACTGCTTAGTCAAGACATTGAAAAAAATAATTCAAATGAAATTGGTGTATGATAAGCTACAGCTGAACATCTAAAGTTTGAAACAAATAAAGAGGCAACCATGTAGAAACATTAGGTATTTTTTTAAACTGGAAGCATGAAAAATTAGCAATGCCCTCACCGGGACTCGAACCACCCACCTCTCGAATATGCGCTGAGTGTGCTGGCCCCTACACCATGAAGGCATGCTAAGAAAGTGGGGGGAAATACCTTATAACCACTACAGCTTGCTTTCAATCAGAATCTGTAATGTAGTTTGCATCTCCTGACTTCGTAAATAGATATCAGCCAAAGGTTAATTCTGGGAAGGTAATTTGTTGAATTATTTCATATATTAAATGAAGGTAACTCCAGTAAATGGTTCTAGTTTGTCTAATGAACATTGCAAGAATGTCATGTGAATTCCGTGTTCCTCTGTGGTTTCATTCATTTATGAATATTTCCTCCTTTTAAGAGGGATGTTAACAAAACTATAAATACTAGTATGATTTAAATTTGTCTCATCTATTGTTAGCAGATCACACCTATACCTTTGGTTGGTTTAATTTTTCTAAAGTCACCAATAGTATAAACGAAAATTTTCACCTACACAAATTTCATACGAACGCTATCCACTACCAATTTTATATGAAAGGTAACCAAAAATTATGATATGAAGCGTCCTTCAACACTCTTCTGGACTATGTTAATATCTTGTTTGTCAGTGCCATGTAAGATTACCTTGAATAAGGAAGTCATGGAATATTTATGTTAACTTCAAAGGCTGTTATCTTCTTAATGAATAAAAATAGCAAAATTTAACTGCAGTGTTGTGCTTAAAATTCTGGCTTAAATTTGTTTATCTCATGCTCTCTTTTGCTTTTGAAAATTCAGAGCAAGATTAAAGATGGTAATGGATGCTTTTATTCATAAACTAGTAGTGCTTTTTGCCCATCACTATATCCAGCTTCTAGTCTATGTCTGCAGTGGCTTATGTAGTAGAAAAGTACTTCCTGAGTTGCTGCGTATAATTCAAAATATAAAGTACTAAACATCAGTTACTGTATAATAAAAAAAATTACAATAAAGTCATATATGTAAGCAACAGTAAAAATACTAACGAAATGAAAATGGTATATGTTGTACTTAGAATGATTGTGGTCAAACTCATAAAACAAGTAAAATGATGTAATGAAGGTAAAGAAATTACGATAGATGTTTCAAGTAAACAATGAGGTTATGAAAACATTAAAATTACTAACATTTCGTTAACTTCCATTAAGTCTTGTGTGTATGTGTATATACATACAGAAAGTGAGAGAGAATATATAGTGATTTAAAAATATGTTGCAAAAATGTAAGATAGTAATGAGCAAAAGCAAATTTTTCTAATGGAAATACCATGTTTAGGTGGTATAGGGTGGATTTGAACTCTATATAAAAGCATTCTTCTGATGAAAATCATCATTCCCCATATAAATTTCAAGCGTATATCACTACCTGAACATGGAGCTTGCTGTCATGCATTTTTTTCTGTGGGGCTGTGGCTAAGATGGGAACTGCTTGGAGGTACAGAGAACAATTTGTAAGTACTTTTCTTTGAGCAACTGCTGCATTTCTATCTGTAGCCTCATAGATAAAATGCATGTTGGCAAGCTCTATATTTGTACATTTGTATGTACTACTCGAAATTCATGCAGGAAATGACTTTACACCCACAGAATACATGTATCTGCTTCTAAGTGCTTTGTAACCACCTCAATATGGTGTTTGTGAAACAATGCATATTGCTCCAAATCTGCATGAGGAATGACTATATACATACGCTAGCAGAATTCTTTTATTTGCCATTCAACAGCACCATGTGCCACCTGAATATTCACATTTTATTGCATATCAGCTTATTTAAGTCTCCTCTACTGCCTTCAAGTTCTTGCATTTCTCTATATATATACACTCGTACACACACACACACCAGGTTCTTAGTGGCCTTTATTATCACAACCATTAGCTGTAGACATTTCCAGTTACAGAAATGTTTTAAATGATGCTAATATTCATGTTTGCCATTTTTTGATTTAAAGACATCAATTTTGTAAAAAATATGAGATCTAAATTTTTATACGTTACTGGTGAACCTATGAAATGTTTCGTTTTCAATAACCTCTCTGTCACTTTCTTCACTGTTGATAGCAGTATTTCCTGGAACTAGAGCCATACTACAGATTTCACTGTCTGTTAATTGATTGATGATTGGGGCATTGTCATCACAATGAAAAACTTCTGTTATATCATCTGCATTTATTAACTGCTTCTCCACATTTCTGTACAAAATTAATTAATTGGAAAATTTCATCTTTGGTTTGCAATATCCGAAAACGTTCAAATTTGCAGCTATCATCTTCATCATCCATACCATGAAATAGGGTAGCTGGCCATAAATTATGCGAAGCATTTTTAAAGCATCTGGAAACACATCCTCTCACAATTTTGTGATGATCCACACAGCAGATTTTATGCTAAAATAATGTAAAAAATCCTTGAATAGTCTCGCCATTATTCAAGAAATTTAATATGGATTTTAAAAATGCTGCTTTATATTTGCATTTCAGAACGCGCATTATTCTGATATCCATAGAGGGAATGATGGGCGTACAATTTGGAGGAAACCATAATATGCATTATCTTTCACTAAAATTTTAACTGAATTATGAGCCAAACAGTCGTCTACAGGACAATTTTTGCATCATCAGGTAAATCATCTGAATTCAGATGTTACTGAACCCAGGGTATGAAATGATTTTCAAACTAGTCATTCATTTATGCTTGTGTCATCCATGTTCTTTTATTTGCATGATGTATAAGGAGAAAATCTTTACTTTTTTACATGCTCGAGGTTGTATTTTTTCAGATTACGAAAGGTTTACACTTGTGCGTTGCTGCAGCATATGCGTATGCTAAAATTTTTAGTCTCGCTTTACAATCTTTGACAATTGGAATCTTTTCTATAGGGGTTGCCAAGGTGTTTTGCGGTACATATTGCCAGAAAAGACGAGTTTCTTCAGCATTGTAAATTAGTTCTGGAGATAACTTTTCACTGTTAATGAGTTCAATGAATTCATCTGCAAATAGTTCAGCAGCATCAGTATTAGCTGAAGCATTTTCATCTGAAATTTTTAATTGCCTTATACTATGGTGATTTTTAAATTTGGTTGACCAACCTATCGGATATGTACAAACAGTTTTTTAAGTTAATTTCTTCATGAAATATTTTGGCTTGAACCATTAATACTGGACCCGTCAATATGGCTCGCCCTTGCTGCAACACTGTCTGACCCAGGGTTCGTAGCGGTCCTTATAAGTCCTTATATTTGAAAAGAAAATATAAAGGCTCTTATAGGTGCTACTTTTTCTTAAAGCACTTATTTTTTTTTTTGTTTTTTTGTGCTTTATTTTTTGTTTTTAGTGCTTTTTTTAAATGAACGCGCAATTTTTCTCCGTACCAAAACCGAAACTAAATAAAACTAAAAAAATTTTTCTTATCCCTGTCGGTGAATCATACTCCCGGAAATAGCTTTTCCCCCTTTCTCTGCATTAACATAACCTTTGGTGTGCGCGGAGAGAATTGCTCGAAAGCGTGAGTTGGTTAGAAATTGAAAGGAAGCAGTAGAAAATTCCGGTACATTCGGCATTCTTTTCCTCCCACCCAAATACTACACACGTTTGAATTTCTATCAGGATCTTAATAATTTGCATTCTCGTTCTGCTTGGTCAGTTCATATTCCTGTTTATTATGATCATTATGCTTATATTATGAGTATATGTATGAATGTTTATAATAACAAAGTTGCAGTAACTGTATAACAAAGTATAGATAATATTCGGAATGGCTTATATAAAGGGAAAGTAATCAAATAGTCAAAATAATTTAATTTTTTTTGGCCAATACATAATACAGTACGAAGGTTGGGAGGTTTTCCCCTTTCTCTGCAAAATCTTGAGTATTGAAACTGTTACAGTTCGCTGCAAAACAAGCAACGAACTTTTTTTTTGGTCACTTTCCAATCTGGATTGAATAGGATTCTGCGGTCTAACAACCCAAGCAAAGAAAGATTCTATTGCGGAAATTTAACGCAGTCTGTTGAAAATTAAAATGAAAAACACCCCAGACTGGTAAGTCTCTTTCTTCGCATATATTGAGCAGTAACATTTGCGATATTTTGCAGAGATAATTAATTTTGATGTTCGATCTGAGATTTGTTTATGAACACTTAAAAGAGTTTTACTGTGCTTGCTAAGCAGAATATTTTTCTGTTCTGTGTTGGTTTGTTTTTATAT